GAGCGTAACGTAGAACGTTTTTAATACGAGCGTGAGGAGTATAGTAGAGCGAGCGTTCTGCTTTTTGAAACGCTTCGATATTCTGGACACGAGAGCCAGAGGCCATGTGCACAGAGCTGGAAATAAGCCCCACAGGATGGTTTACGCTTGTGGAATTTTAATTAACTTGCCTCTCATGCGTTATGTCAACGCGTTATGAATGACGGTATGTTTAACGCCAACGCGTTTTTCGCGTTTTGAGCTCTGAAATCGTCTATTTCGCGTTGCGTTATGCGTTATGCGTTCAACACTAGCGTTTTACACAACACGGGTGAAACTCCAATGATGGACTTGCACCCGTAATATGAAAAACACATCACCTCGTGAATAATGCGTAAAACACATCATGTATTTTACGCGATATCGAGTGGTCATCTGTAATTCCCGAAGTGTCTTTACTTCACTTCATATCGCGTTTTCACGTAATACGAGTGAACTGCCGATAAATGAATCTTACTAATAGCAGACTCCAATATCGATCTCGTCAGAGCAGGCAGAGCCTCTGCAGGGTCAACATTCGGCAAAGGTCCGGTATGGCGGCGACAGAAGCCTTGGGGTCTCCACGCATACGCATCACCACAGTCACAACAACCGTAGTCCGATCTGAATAAATGAAATACAAACGTTGTATATAAAGTGACAGGCGATACGATACTTCTTCGTATAGACCTGTACACTATAGGAAAATGTACACGTAATCAACTACATGTCTTACTCAATTTTACAAAATTTTCATCTGTTACTAATCTAGTGGTAATATAAAACTTGATAATAATAAGGCACCAATGATTTAATGAGGAAATTCTCGTTGATCTGCGACCACTTCTACCAGCAGCACTTCTAATTCGTATATAAACTCCACCATGATTAGCTCTAGAAACTCCTGAGCTCAGCAGCTGTGGAAAGCAATTACATATATTCCTACTCCAACACTGTATAGGAAACTCCTGAGCTCAGCAGCTGTGAAAAGCGAACACATATTTCTCCAACACTGTATAGGAAACTCCTGAGCTCAGCAGCTGAGGAAAGCGATTACATATATTCCTACTCCAACACTGTATAGGAAACTCCTGAGCTCAGTAGCTGTGGAAAGCGATTACATATATTCCTACTCCAACACTGTATAGGAAACTCCTGAGCTCAGTAGCTGTGGAAAGCGAACATATATTCCTACTCCAACACTGTATAGGAAACTCCTGTGCTCAGTAGCTCTGGAAAGCGAACATATATTTCTCCAACACCGGCATCGACAATATTCTACCCTTGTATGAAGCCATTCCACTAGAAACGGCGAATCAATTTAAAACCGGTACCTCCCAATACAGCGACTTCACTCACCTCGATATAAAGAAGTCATGACCTTCATGATCGCCTTGGTCAAAGCAAGCAACACATATACACGATGCTGAGCCTGGTGACACGACAGTAATGATACTTAGTCGACAATTTAATCCGTGACAAATTCAAACAATATAACAATGCTAGGAGAGCCTGTTTACGAATTTTCAGCTCTGCGTAGAAAATTATGATGGTGACACGTAACGACTCTCCAGATTGCGCGCACTGTACAAAATGGGATACGCTCTCACTCAGTCCGCAAGTCTTGCAGCCATACGCAATCGTCTCGCGTCCATCTGCGACATACCTAAGAGTAGATGACAACCGTGGGAATCGAACCGGGGTGTATTCGTCTGGAATTAACACATGGAAAGTCACGATGAATTTGATAGCTCAAGTAGAGCGGGCTCGACGATTTCTATTCCAAGCGGCCCATGTACGTACCAGACTGAATCACACCGGCATTTGGCGCCTTTACTGCTCGGTAGGGTTCGACACCTGGCAAGCAACCGAAAGGTCGCAGGTTCGAATCCCAAGGAATCCGTTTATCATACCATTCTTCTGCCGCTTCTACTATGGAGGAACTATCCTGTTTCGAACAGCTACTGGCCTCTTCCTCGCCGACAGGAGCCAGACCTGAGATGATTTACTATTGGTGTGGTATGGAGAGCAAATATATCTACTGTAGAGAACTGTGTCCAGGAAGTGCTGCAGCCTTTGAAGTTGCAGATCTCGGGAAGCATCATCCGAGCTCTTCTCGAGGATCGCTGCTGGGGTGTTAAGCATGGCTTTGTACCTGTCATAATGCAGGTCCTTATGGCGCTCGAAATATATGTCAATTGCTGGATTTTGAGAAGTCGATTATTAACGGTGATTTTGATTTTTTCCTGATTGATCGAGTTAAAAGAGGCTAACGAAAAAGTAATCCGGAAATTCCCATGCCAAGGGGAACAGCCCGGGCGGATTGGAAATTATTTCGCGATTCGAGGTGGTAACTACATCGAGATGAGACGTTCCTCGGTTCTGGCCTTCTCTCCGACGTCCTCATGTAGTGCCTACAAGCATAAGTGATAGGAGATATACTCTTGATATTATCGGGAGTGATGTACACTCCTTCAAGCAGGATTTCCTCCTAGGATTCTGTCGCACGTTGATATCACACTAAGAACGAAATGGATAGTCCCAAAGGATAGTATTCTCAATACGAAGCGCAACCATACCATCTTTCACATCACTAGCACTTTCCAGGAAGATTCCCCCCGCAAATTTCATAATTCGAAATGAAATCAGTCAAGTGGATGGTAACTAAGAATTAATTATTCGAACTACCCTGATCATAGAGCCCTGCATTTGTATGAGTGTACAGACGTCCTCATCTCCACTGCACTCCTCAGGGTCCGTAGCGATGCCAGAAGGATCCCCTACAGGTCGGGAATGGACCGCCATTATACGTAATAACAACTACAATACAAACTAGCTGATACCTATGGACTACCGCTCACGCTTGTAGTGTCTGAGAGAATCTTTCGGAAGCATATCTTGAAGCTGTGGCATATGTGCCCCGCCTGACAGAATTGATCGTACGACAGGGTACATTCATATGGCATAGCCGCCCCGGTTGGAGAGATTTGTTACACAACGGCATATCATTGGGAGACTTAGTTGCCCTGTCTGGGAAACTGAGGCAAAGCTTGGGGTGGCATAGCTGCCCCAACCATCGGAACTGATCGTACTCAGGCATATCTTGGGTTGGCATAGCCGCCCCATCCATCGGACCTGATCTTACTCAGGCATATCTTGGGTTGGCATAGCCGCCCCAACCATCGGAACTGATCGTACTCAGGCATATCTTGGGTTGGCATAGCCGCCCCATCCATCGGAACTGATCTTACTCAGGCATATCTTGGGTTGGCATAGTCGCCCCATCCATCGGAACTGATCTTACTCAGGCATATCTTGGGTTGGCATAGCCGCCCCATCCATCGGAACTGATCTTACTCAGGCATATCTTGGGTTGGCATAGCCGCCCTATCCATCGGAACTGATCTTACTCAGGCATATCTTGGGTTGGCATAGCCGCCCCATCCATCGGAACTGTTCTTACTCAGGCATATCTTGGGTTGGCATCCCGCCCCATCCATCGGAACGGATCTTACTCAGGCATACCTTGAGTTGGCATAGCCGCCCCGTCCCATCCAAAAGAATTGATCTCACTAGGAACAAAAACGACGTTAGAAAGGGTAGAAAAGGTATAAATATTTTAACCTCTGGACAATACACAAGTCAGTGTTGACAGTAATGCGAGTAATTACAACGCTTATTGCCGTACATTGTGGGTACAAAGCCATCACCCTTAAGGACTCTTAAAGGCAGTTACTGGACTGGGAAAGGTTAATGATATTACATATCTTGGGTTGGCATAGCGGCCCCATCCATGGGGAATTGATCTTACTAAGAACAAATGGCGTTAGAAAGGGTAGAAAAGGTATAAATATTTTACCCTCTGGATAATACACAAGTCAGTGTTGACAGTAATGCGAGTAATCACAACGCTTATTGCCGTGCATTATGGGTACAAGGCCATCACCCTTAAGGACTCTTAAAGGCTGTTACTGGACGGGGAAAGGTTAATGGCAGACACGAGTGATGAAGGCGAGTTGCATCACATTATTGGGTATGTTTCACATGGATACTTAAATTAAGTCGCCGCAACGTTACGAGCAACTCTAGAAGTTGCTCGATGAAAGGCGCAATTCGCTCCTATGAAACATAAATTTGCTCCACTGCTTGTGCGCAGTCGTACAATACATCGCTCCGCCTAATTTCAGCATTTTGTTTCGACTTTTCAGTCAGTTCATTGCGACTTTTGCGTACTGATGACCGTAGTACTTAACGAGTTGGTTCATCTTCTTGTAGTCTTCACCATCGACTTCGTCGTGAAGTACTTGAACCGCTACGATGATCTTTCGAGTAAAAGCTTTCTTGGGTATGGCAGTGTTGGAGGAATATATGTTTTTCCTCTCCTCAGCTGAGCTCAGGAGCTTCCGCACTGATTATAGAGGCTCACACTGTGTGAGTCACACATGCCTTGGCGAAGAAGTGTACAGAAATCAATCGGAGTTTTCTCAGAATCCGCTTATTATGATAAACACATGTCATAGCGAGTTTACTCTGTATAAAAGATGTTGGATTCCCATGAATTCACCTGTATATATTCCCACAAAGCTTCTTGGAAGGGATCGAGTTTAGTATACCCCCAGACAATGCTAAAAAATGTTGGAACATATGTCTGCTCGTATGACGAGTCACATCTACTAGCTCATATCGTCGAGTCGATTCTGACTACACTCTAGTTGTCCCAGTTGAGATATGCTGTACTGTGCGTGCCAATTTGATATGCAAATGTGCCATATTTTTCCTAGTTGATGAGAATCAATCTGGAACTATATCCCATACACATATGAACATGTGTTGTGATGAGAGTACCCGTTTGGGACTGTGATAGCGACAACTTGTTCACTATAATTTGTCCTCCAAAATAACACACATTGGCATATCAAATTCACACGTACTGTATGCGTCAAGTTGATGGATATGTTGCTGATCGGACACTCAATATTGGTATCTTACTTCCTCTCCTTTCATCAGTAGCTGACATAGCTACATACAGTTGGCTCTACCATCTGAGTAGTATATACCCTCGTCAGCACCCATCTAGTACGTCGTCTCTCCCCCTGCAACAGATAGCGCGCCAATGCATATGCGTTCATATTATATTCATCGATCGTCACGAGTTAGCTATTGTCGCAAGTTCGCCCTTTTCCCATATACCAGTTCATACAGATCTGTCAGTTGCAAACTGGCCTCGTATCGTTAGGTCCTCAAGGATAGCATTCAGCTAGAGGTTCTTTAGATGGAAGTTCGCAGCCTCCTTACAGATTGCCCTGTCGTGTTCTGTCGCGTGTTTGACAAGACTGAGTGCGTTCACTTTCAACGCAACACATAAACTGTGATGATCCCTGACTTAATGTACTCCTTGTGATGAGAAGGGTAGTTACTTCACAATATCAAACTTGTTACAAGTACTCCTTATGATAGTAATGATGCTCACCCATTACAATGACAATGTCGAGCGACACCTAATACGAAGAAGATTCAATACACTTTACATAGCGAACGCTCACATAGGCCACATGTGTCACACTTCCTATGGTGACACGGACAAGATCGACCGCTTGCTGCTGTCCATAAGATATTCCCTCGTCTGTCTCGTACCGCCTGAAAGCAGCTCAGTAATACCACACCATTTCTACATCTAATCAACAAATCACAAAATGGATTATTATAGTCCATAAGCTCAATTTTTCCGGGTATCATAATTTTGAAACAATCATGGAACACTTCGCTCCGCTGTAATTCGTGAACGTGTCCCTTCTCACGTGTTGGGTCCAATGCCTACTAACTCCACTGACTAGCACACAATTCGAAGAAAACTCTCTCGCAGAGATTGAGCCACTCAGAATCAAAAGTGACCAAGACCGTACGTGAAAGGAAATGAACGCTGCGTGGTAATCCAAAACAAAGACCACTTTCTTGACGCTATAACAGGAGCAGTCGAGTTACCCCAATCCTCCACTTACCGTCCTATAGTCACCGTACTTGTGACCAGAGGCTGACGTAGAACTCATAGCCTTCGCTGCTGACGAAGTCTGACGCAAAAATAAATACCTCCCTCAGCTGCTGAGCTTAGGAGATTCCAAAGCTAATTATAGGAGTTTATATACGAAATCGGGTAGAAGTGTGGTTAGAAAGCATAGAGAATCTCCTCAGAATTTTGATACGGTCACCACCAATGATCATGTGCATATTTTGCCAAAAAACCGAGCCCTACTGATGCACTCGACGAAGAGTCGTCTTTAAGTAGGGTTGCCGCTGTGGTCTTCCTAAAATCCTTAGACATGCTCCTAGTCCGTCGCCGTGTCACCATCGGGGGAATCTCCTCAACCTTCGCCACGGGCTTCTTACAAGCCAACATACACAATAAAGGGGGACAAATGCACAACTCACCTGGTCTCCTTGTGGTCGTACCACACTTCTTCTACTTCGTCTTGCAACAGCACCCACCGGCGCCTCCTCCTTCTTAGCAGCCACTTTCGCCACCGCCGCGGCAGCTGCCAGGGCGACCACGTTAGGAGGTGACGCTGCTATACCATGCTCTTTAATAGGAGTTCCTTCTGGTGTGGTATTAGATTCGATCTAACACACTAAGAAGTAGCCACACTCAGCTGAGGACTACTGCATACAGGTAGATTATCTGGCGTCACTGCCTTCGAGGGCTTGCGTGTCTTGGACGTTTGCGGATAAGGCGTCGGGTCTTCACATTGGCAGTGGCGTGAGATGCCTGAGGATCGCGAGTGAGGCCACGGCTGAAGTGGCAAAGTAGTGGTATAGATGATGTACTCCTACACTGCTGACACTTCATACACCGTCTCTGGTGGCAACCACACTTCACTTCGCCGAAACCCGTATAGTTAATGCCTGGAGATTGAACGCGGGGTGCCGGGATTGAACCGCCGGTCTCCGTGTACACTCACTCAACTGCAGTACTCGCCAAAGCACGAGCAACATCAACAACGACAACAACAGCCACTAGTGTCACCACTGGAGTTTCACAACCCGTTTAACGTGAAGTGGCGTAAAACTCGGTGTAAAACGCGATATTCGCGGTGATATGCAGCAGTGTTTTTCATATCACTATGTTGGTGAAACTTCACTTAATATATCAATAACGATTCTATCCATCATATTTTGATACTAATTTAGTCCATGTATGGAAATTATTGGAGTTTCACGACCCGTGAAGTGGTATAATACTAAATGTGAATTATAAGGTGTGTATGCTGATTCCGCCAACACCGATAATATAATTGTTTTCAAGTCAATTGGGAAATATGTTTTTCATATCACTAGGGTGAAACTCCCGAGTCCCAAACACGGAATAAATTACCCATTTTTGAGGTATGGGCTATAAAACGTTCTAAAAGAGTTCCGCTACTATACCTCTCTCGAGAAGTAATTCCGCCCAAAAGTTTTCCGTAGCTCACCAGAAGGAGTCTCCGTCCGGATCACTTTAGTCGGTCCAGGAGTGTCACTAAATCCGTCATCAGCCGAGCGCTTCCTTGATGCAACTACAGGTGGAGTTGACCACCACCACCAACGACAATAGTAAGCATACTGCTACCTTCAAACGCAGGCCCGCCAACACAAGTGCAATGGGAAGCTAAGCAGTTGCCACACTCTGGACCTGACCAAGTGATAATCAAATTATACGATTCAAATATACACTTTTCGAAATCAATTCTGGTTTTATAAGTGTTTTCAATTATTGGAGTTTCACCACCCTAGTGATATGAAAAATATTTCACGACTACTACTGCATATCACCGCGTTGAATATCGCCTAGTTTTTCACCGAGTTTTACGACGCCACCTCACGTAAAACGGGTGATCATAAAACTCCATTATTCTGCGTTAGTGTTGAGTAAACGCTGATATATGCGTTTTCTGCGATCAATCCACACAGAACTATCGAAAACGGGAACAGCACTGAGACGCTTCTTGAGAGCAAATAAAGGAGTTTTGCTCGCCCATGCCGCGACCAAGATCATCATCATCATCATCACCAGCAGGAATAGAAAGCTCTCTTACATCGTATGGTGTTGCATCCACACACAATCGCCTCCTTCTTCCTAGGCAGCTTGGTCCGGACCTGCTACGAGATGATTCAAAAAGATGGTATGGGGAGTTTAATAATCTCACATCGCTTCCCATACCACTCCGCCGACAAATGCAATGCTTCGCCAGACACTTGTGACAATTCTTGCATCGCTTCGCTCGGTTGCGACGATCAACTAAATATATATAAATCACCACGAAATTAGAGAGCTTTTTGGCTTACCACAATCGCTACACTTCGCTGCAGGCCACTGAACACCCATACCGAAGGGGTATTGATGCACCTTTGTGCCTGACAGAAGATTCGACAGAGGAGTGGTATGGCAGACAGAAGACTCCACTGTTGGAGTAGGAATATATGTAATCGCTTTCCTCAGCTGCTGAGCTCAGGAGTTTCCTATACAGTGTTGGAGTAGGAATATATGTAATCGCTTTCCTCAGCTGCTGAGCTCAAGAGTTTCCTATACAGTGTTGGAGTAGGAATATATGTAATCGCTTTCCTCAGCTACTGAGCTCAAGAGTTTCCTATACAGTGTTGGAGTAGGAATATATGTAATCGCTTTCCTCAGCTGCTGAGCTCAGGAGTTTCCTATACAGTGTTGGAGTAGGAATATATGTAATCGCTTTCCTCAGCTGCCGAGCTCAGGAGTTTCCTATACAGTGTTGGAGTAGGAATATATGTAATCGCTTTCCTCAGCTACTGAGCTCAAGAGTTTCCTATACAGTGTTGGAGTAGGAATATATGTAATCGCTTTCCTCAGCTGCTGAGCTCAGGAGTTTCCTATACAGTGTTGGAGTAGGAATATATGTAATCGCTTTCCTCAGCTGCCGAGCTCAGGAGTTTCCTATACAGTGTTGGAGTAGGAATATATGTAATCGCTTTCCTCAGCTGCTGAGCTCAGGAATTTCCTACACAGTGTTGGAGTAGGAATATATGTCACCGCTTTCCTCAGCTGCCCAGCACAGGAGTTTACTTACGACTTCACGTATAAATATACAAAAACCAATGAGAATTTGCCCACAATTTTAATATTGTCATCACCAACACATGTAGTTGCCAACCATTTACATATTTTCCCCCGACACTTACTCGCCGGGAAATGTGGTAAGCCACTTGCCGTATTAGAAGAGTCACCGATCTTCAGCCTAGGACAAGTCGTGGGTAAAGTCTCCACCCTATGAGCCTGTCCGTGACGATATGTTATGGTCACCAAACCAGTCGCTGAAAAGAAATAAAATTTCATCAATGGAGTTTCACCCGTGATATGAAAAGCACGAGTGAAAAACATATTTCACGACTATTGCAAGGCGCAAATATCGCGTTTTTCACGGAGTTTTACGCCACTTCACGTAAAACGGGTGAAACTCCAATACTACAGAGTAAATGTTGAGATGTCGAAGCGATGAGAGTATATATATTTATTTTTGCTTTCCTCAACTACTGAGCTCGTAAAACCACGGAAAATTTCCCGAAAATTTTTTCATTTTCGACAACACATGTAGTTGACCATGTACATATACTCAAACGCTGTATTCCACTTCGAGAAAAGCACTAAGCCCGAGACCAAAGCACCCAGTAAGTAGCTTTAAGAAATAACGTCTCCCCAGGGTTTGATAACAACGGGGAAAATGATATTACTAATGTGACGACATTTACATGGAAAACCGATTGAAGAATTTGGAAAATGAATTAGTACCCTCGTCAAGAACAGTATAAATTCCCTAACGGTAATGTGCCCTCCTCTCCACCGAACGACTCCGGTTCAATTCCTGGCCGATACATTTTCACCAGTGTTCGAAAGTATTTACGTGGTCAACTACATGTGTCAGTAACTAAATAGAAATTTTGGGAAATTCAACTTCGTTTCTGCAAACTCCTACTTCACTTTTTATATAAACTTTTGATAACAAAAAAATCATAACGCAGCTAAGGAAAGCGATCGTATATTCCTCCACCTATCTCACCAGCTTGATTATTCGTTATCCTCGCCCGACACCAAACCTCGTCTTCTCCCGGTGCGTTCTCCTGCCCTGCCAACACCGACACCGGGCATCCCGGATCAGCTGCAATCTGATCACCATCACAAAATTACAACTACTCTGTGAGTCTCGGACCACTCACGCGTTTGGAAGCCATCACTGCTCGCGGGCTCAGCAGCCGGGCTAGTTTTACTCCAATATCACACCCTAGTGTTTTCGCAGACCCATACGTGTCGATCCACTGGGCGTAGACAAATCTATGAGAAAATATTCACATTTTACTCGTTTCTTACTAACAATGGAGTTTCACCCTGGTGATATGAAAAACATATTTCACGACTACTGCTGCGTATCACGAAATTTTCACATAGAGTATTACGCCACTTCATGTGAAACGGGTGATCGTGAAACTCCAATGAGCTACTAGGCAAGAGATGCGATTCTGCATCGAATAAATATGAATGCCCATCTCGTATGGATAGAGCATGACGATAAGTTTGATACTTCATTTATGGCAGATTTTTGTATCACCGAAAGGGACGTAAGTGAAACGAAAATCTATTAAAATTGATATTAATGGAGTGGATTCACCACCCTAGTGATATGAAAAACACTAGTGAAAAACATATTTCACGACTACTACTGCATATCACCGCGTTTTCACCGAGTTTTACGACGCCACTTCACGTGAAACGGGTGATCGTGAAACTCCAATATTCCGATGGTGATATGAATAACACACCAACTGCAGACAAAACAACGTAATACTCTCGTAAAAAATATTGCGCGGGGATTAGTTTTTCCCCACAAACAATCAAAGCCGCAACTCCAAGGAAATGACAAATGTTCGTCCTACTTCGGTATTCGAATCGCCTCTTCAAAGCCCATCGCCTGGAAGAAGCCAACAGCCTTCTGGTCAACACTACTAATAACCTCGGTAAAACCTAACAGAGGTGAGGTAGGCGCTTCTTATGTGTATTATTACTACCTTCGTGAACCCATTGTTGCATCAAAGTATGTAGTAGACTCCGACCGTAGCCACCACCTCGATAAGCCTCCGACGTGGCTATATACGCCAGCTCAATAAATCCAAATTTATAATGTCGCGCTGAAGACAACAGAAAACATATAGCACTTCAACAATTGCAACTTTGCCGCAGATATATGCACATGGTCAACTACATGTGTTGATGACAATATTTGAGAAACTCTACGCGAATTTTTGTGTAAACTCTTCTTACTATTGAGAACCCCTCTGAGCTGAGCTGTGGAAAGCAAACATATATTTCCACTCCAACAACTTCCGTTGAAGTAAATCTCAATCTCCCCGGATAATACCAAAGACCGCTGCGCTCACGAGCTCTCCATCGCCACCGTCCAAGACGAGACTCCAGCATTCAAAGCGACTACTTGTTGCAGAGAAACTGACAAAATAACCACCCATGGGATCGAACCCACGACCTTCTGCTTATAAGCCCAGAAGACTAACGCATTAAGCTATTACATTGCTTTCTCCACATGCCCCTCGGGTAGACCAGGCAGGGACTCCTGCAGAATATTGACCGCCTCCCATTTTCTCTCCACTGACATAGCTGGGCAAACCACGTGCTTTCCTTGTCGCGCCGATGAACTGAAACGAACGCCAGCTGAATAGCAGTGTGAGAAAATAAGTCTGGTTTTCCTCATCTGAGCTCAGGAGTTTCCTCACCGTATTAAGAGAATTTAGTGAAAAACATATTTCACGACTACTACTGCATATCACCACAAATATCGCCTAGTTTAACGTAAAACGGGTTGTCTTGAAACTCCAATAAACAATCTAGTAGCACTTTCACGATCCGAAGAACTCAATATTACGCCGACTCCATTTTCACACTCCCATCTTTTCGCCGACTCTTCGCTGAAGTCATACTGCCATGCAATGACTCTTTCTTTGGCCGTACACATGTACGTTTGGTCGCCAGCTCGGGATCATCCACTCGAATGCTGCTGTTATCGGACGTGAACATTCCAGACAGGGGTGGTTGGAAGAAGCGACGGCAGGCCGTGGGAACTGGGAAAAAGGAAAAGGGAATTTATTAAATTGAAAAAAATGTATAATATCGTATTATTGGACTTCTACCACCCTAGTGATATGAAGAACACTAGTAAAAAATATATTTCACGACTACTACTGCATAGTACCGCGTTGAATGTCGCGTTTTACGCCGAGTTTTGTGACGCCATTTCACGTAAAACGGGTGATCGTGAAACCCTAATTATTAACTTACTCTATTTATTTTTATTCATTAACTTTTATCAATGCTTTTTATTTTCCTCATTTTTATTCACAAATTTTCATTCATTTTCCCATTTTTGTTCACTAAACTTCATTTATTTTTTTATTTTCTGCATTTTTATCCATCATTAATTCCCCAGCTACTAGAATGCTCAATGCGGGGAAGAGAGTGGCATCCAAAACTCCGATGCTGCTGATATGCTTTTTTATGAAAAAAATGGATTTTTTCCAAACGTATTCAAGAAGTTCAAATTCAAAAATATACAATTCTGAAAATTTCAATTTCTTAGCTATATCGTCTTGACCCATTTCCCAACGAATTTCATGATGAAAAATTACCGAAAAAGTCGCCATTGTAGGACGTAAAGTTGCGGAAAATTTCGTTAAAGGGCGTAAAATTGCAGAAAATTTCGCTAAAGGGCGTAAAATTGCGGAAAATTTCGTTAAAGGGCGTAAAATTGCAGAAAATTTCGCTAAAGGACGTAAAATTGCGAAAAATTTGGTTAAAGGGCGTAAATTTGCGGGAAATTTTGTTATAGGACGTAAAATTCCGGAAAATTTCGTGAAAGGGCGTAAAATTGCGTTAAATTGCGGAAAATTTCGTTATAGGACGTAAAATTTACGCTCCTTTATTATGACAAGCATTTTTGCTACATAGACTTTGACGACGCCTGAGCCTTTGGAGATTGAAAAAAAAACCAATACTGAGTATTGAATACTCTACAGATTGTGATGTAGGCGCATTATTGGCCGAATAATAACGACAGAAAGTATAACAATTATGATTATTAATAATCATAAAAAATGAGTTCTGGGATGTTGCACTCCCATTGCACGAATTCTATAGCCGTATCGTTGCACATGAGCTGTACTATCGCTGATTATGATGTTGGCAGTAGGCGTACATTTTTCCGAGTAGCGAATACCTGCCCAATCTGTGTAGTATAGTTTTTTATAGTATAATTCTTGTTGGGCGTTGAGCCAAAGCTGATACTGTGATGAATGATAATGAATAGTATCAAGCTCAGAATCTCAGCCAAGGCAAACACTATGGAGTTTCACGATCACCCGTTTTACGTGAAGTGGTGGCGTAGTGGTGCTATGCAGTAGTAGTCGTGAAATATGTTTTTCACTACTGTTTTTCATATCACTAGGGTGGTGAAACTCCTGTAACAACTTTTTTATGTATACCCCTAGTAAGGCTAGGGACACGAAAAGTAATTTTATTATTGGAAATTATCACTATTCAGTGATTATGTAATAGTAAATATATACAACTATCACTGGAGTTTCACGACCAGTTCAACGCTCAGAAAAGCGACCATTCAGAAAAGCGCGATATGAAGTGAATTAAAGCGACACCATCATCAACAACAGCATTTCCCAAGTACTACCTTTTCGCGTCACCGTGCGTTCCACAGTAGTCAAGGCTTTAGCTGGGCGCTGCGGATCGATCAAACTGTCTATGGTGAAGTATAAAGGCGTGTATTCCAACTTCCGTGGGGGTAGTGGGCGTACAGAGGGCCCTATGAGGGGCTGCTGACTTGGGCCGCCAGGAGTGGTAGATGAAATTAACATTGTAATAAACGTGGCTGAGTAGAACGTTTTTCAACGGGTAAAAACGACATAAAAACGACGAGTGGTTTTTGATGTTAAACTCTGTGAGAGAGCAACCGCACAACTTAACTCGATACCTTAATAGTAGAGTATAATAGGAATGCCAGGGAGTGGTAGATGAAATTAACATTGTAATAAACGTGGCTGAGTAGAACGTTTTTCAACGGGTAAAAACGACACAACCTGTCGAGATACATTGTGCAATCACGAGTGGTTTTTGATGTTAAACTCTGTGAGAGAGTCACCGCACAACTTAACTCGATACCTTAATAGTAGAGTATAATAGGAGTGACAGAGAGTGGTAGATGAAATTAACATTGTAATGAACGTGGCTGAGTAGAACGTTTTTCAACGGGTAAAAACGACATAACCTGTCGAGATACATGCATGTCGAGGCTAAATGACTTTTTGACTTTGAGTTTTTATAAATGGAGTTTCACCACCCTAGTGATATGAGAAAAAACACTAGTGAAAAATATATTTCACGACTACTACTGCATATCACCGGGTTGAATATCGCGAGTTTTACGCGTTATTCACTGCTCACATGTGTTTCACGCGAGGTGAAAGGTGAAATACGTTTTCCACTTGTGTTCTTCATCTCCATTACTCAATTATACATGTGAGGGGAAGCACATAGTACTGGAGTTTCACCACCCTAGTGATATGAAAAACACTACTGGAAAATATATTTCACGACCACAACTGCCTATCACCGCGTTTTTCACCGAGTTTTACGACGCCACTTCACGTAAAACGGGTGATCGTGAAACTCCATTGTAATAAGTGCAGTTACTGTTGACCGACTATTCCACGCCTTTATTGATCATAATGTAACTATTCCGAAGGCAAATTTTTTCTTTTTCGAAAAAATAACATCAAAAATATAAAATTAATACGAATATCCTCATTATTATTATCATAGTAATAATAATAAAGATCTCCACGACTACTGAATTGTAAGGACCTCGCAAACTTGCATTCTTGCTAAGTCTTGCATTTCCTCAACGGAGCTCTAGAGCTCTCGAAGTGGTTGTTAAAATATTGGTTATTGTCATTGTGTTAGTTCTTAAGCCTTTGATTTTACTGTAGTTGGATTTTGATTGAAAAACACCACTAATTGTGAATGAATTTGAACACAATTTTATAGAATTTCCTGGCGAGTGACATAATGTATCTTCTATGCACATTGGAGATTAATTCGTTTTACGCGTAAAACTCGGTGAAAAACGCGGTGATATGCAGCAGTGTATTTCACATCACTAGGTTGGTGAAACTTCACTTAATATATCGATAACGATTCTATCCATCATATTTTGATACTAATTTAGTCCATGGATGGAAATTATTGGAGTTTCACGACCCGTGAAGTGGTATAATACTAAATGTGAATTATAAGGTGTGTATGCTGATTCCGCCAACACCGATAATATAATTGTTTTCAAGGCAATTGGGAAATATGTTTTTAATATCACTACGGTGAAACTCCACTTTTTATTAATTTTTTTATATCAGCACTCTTTACCATTATGGAAGTATGGCTGCGAATTCAGCAGCTCCGAAATGAGCGGCCAAAATCTGATGCTGTATATTAGATGTGATTTTCGAATACCATATTTTACTCGAAATTGTTTTTTGTTGAATATAAAAATTTCAAAATCATATTGTTTGTGTGGTGCCCGTTGAGATATGCCTTCCAAGGCTACCTGTTCACGACGAAGACTATCCTCATCATAAGCTCAGCTGCGGAGACTCCTTCAGCTTAGAGAGATATATTGTGTTCTACGGGGGATGAGGACAGCGACAATGATTATGCAGTAGCAGATTCTTACAATGTGTATATCAACACGCTGAAGAATACTGGGTGATGTTGGTGTATAAAACGGAAAGTCGAATGGCGGCAAGTGCGGTGGAAAAATTACTCCAAGTTTATTTTTGAGGAGGAAGTGAGAGCAGACTAATATGGAGGGATAG